ACCTGTTCGCAGGCTAGAACAGCTTTAAAACAAGATGGCGTCTTTCGAAAAGCTTTCAAGAGTAGTAATCATTAGTAATCGTGGTATTAATAGACTTTTACCTGACTCTATTTTGATAAAATCTTCTATAGCAGTCTTGGAGTGATATAACTAATACAGTCAAACCGGATGTTCTGTTCCCATGAGGCATGAGTATTGCATGCAATCAATTTTGCAATGTTGATTGCAAATTGCTCCGAGCGAATTATACGCAAGTATGCAACTGTCATTTTTTCAAGTTTCTATCACTCCCGTGTTGGGTTAAGAGAATAACAAGTCAAAAGGACTAATATCTTGCCTACCACTTGACAAATTAAAGGTAAACTGGAATGTATAGAGAATATTTATACATGGTTGTGCGGAAATACGTAATTTATTTCGAGTGTTGAAGAGAACTATTGCTAACGAGTGAGCGTAGCAAATTGCAAGTTGTTCCATTATGTGATTTAATAATAATCTAAATTTTTGAGTAAGGTCATGGACATATTGTAATTATTATGAGTATTTACTATTTTATCTTCGTATCAAACCAAATATATCCATTGCGAGCTTTAATTGGTATTAAACTGAGCCAGTTTGAGAACATATGTTTACATATTTAACTACCGGAAAATAAATTCCTCTTTGGCACTGAGTTTTGCATGTTATTTAGTATTTTTGTATCACGTTATGATTAAAATGGACAAATTTCTTGAATAATACTTTTAATCTTATAAGGAAAAAATTAGTCCTCATACTTCGTTTTGGATTTGTTACTTTTTATGATAGACAGGGGTACTAAAGCCTTGATATTTCCAGAGGGTATTAAAATACAAAATTAGCCTGTGACGGTATGCTCCTGATTTTACTTCATATTCAGTTTGTCCTGAGCAACAGAAGTTCTACAACAAAAACATATACACGATGTACTGTGCAAATATAAAACGTCATATTTATAGATGTTTGATTGACATGTTTACGCACAGGCCACGCATTTCATACCGCATGGGTTTTCCCTGAGTTTTAATAATCAGGGCTTCCATTTCCGGCAATTGTTTTATGGTTGAATCTTCACGAAACAATTACAAATTTTAGATATAGACAAGCAAATTATATTTGCGTGTATATCTTGACTGTTATTTAATGGAGGCCTCTGAAACTTGGCTAAACTTTAAAAACAAAGTATAGTATAAACGTAGCCCTGTTGTTTTAAATGTCAGAAACTATTATTAGCTCATGACTCCATGTACAGACGTCTAATCCCACGTCTTTGAATCCACACATTTTACAGCCTTAATTAATTATTTTGTTTAAATTGTTCTTAAAAGTAATGAATTGTATGAATAGCGGATATTTAGCTCCAGATAAAAAGAAACATTTTTGTATGATTGTTATTAGTTGCCGTGATTCGGGATATAAATGGTTCTCGTCCTCTTAATTTAGAAGTCACTGGTTAAATGTAAATATTACATCTGAAGCAGCCATATAATTTCAACTAGCACAATTTCGCACAATTGCTGTAAAAATGTAATTCCGAGAATGCAACATCAATGCAGTAAAGGCCTGATTCCACGAGCGTTTTTCCCCGGCGAAATGCGAAACATTTCTACTTACTGCGAAAGCGGACAAAGTGGGACAATTCAATACAATCGCTCATGTGCAACCACCGTATTTCGCAGACACAAGTTCTCGCGACGAATTTCGCCGTCGTGGAATCAGGCCTTAAGGTCCAGGCACACTGGACACGATTCGACAACGCGACGCGATTATTTTTCAGTTTTTGAAAAACAGCCAATGAGAGCAAATCAGTTTGAAACATATGTAGACCAAGTAACTTAAAATGTTATAGCGCTTCTAAATATTTGGAAAATTTAAACTTGGATCAAAGTTATCGGTCAGTGAAAATCGAAAAATCGCGTCGCGTTGTCGAATCGCGTCTGGTGTGTCTGGACCTTTAATGCGCAGATACATGTACGCGGTCGCGTACCTATTTTTTTATATACTGTTAAGGCCTGTAAAATCAGTATTTCGTTGTCCAGCTAGTTTGTAGTTTGGCTTGCCTAAATATAGTTTAACGAACTGAACTTACATAATGTGCTGATTATTATTGGTAACAAGTTGTGTTATGTGTGTCCATTCACGTAAATTTAATAGTGAGCCGCCAAGATGAGTAATTGTTGCTCTTGGGGCAAACTACTGTTATTTAATTATTTAATAAATATTTATTATACAAATATGTCGTGTTTTAGTGTTAGATGGGTGGACTTAGTATGGGATTCTAGTTCTGTTGTTCAATCCTTCATTCATAGCTGTATGCGTATCTTTTACATAATACGACTGTAAAGTTATTAAAGTAAAAAAGATCAAAGTGAAAATTTTACAAATTTTATGTGTTGCTTATAGGGTCTACACTTTGTAAGAAAGTTTTTTTGTAAAATTAAAATGTTCATAATGCAGTTTTCCGGAAGAAACTTTGTAGTAATGTAATGAAGGGCATAACTGCATGAGTCGTATACAGTCATAATTCAGTTGATTTGGGGAAAGGGGGGCGTTCTTAGCCCTTTTTAATCCCTTGCGCCGTGAGCTACACCGCTGCACCTACCGTAAGAAAAAATACCTACCTGAGAAAATACTACCCTAAGGAAAAATTGAATTCATAAACTCACTATACTTAACATGTCAAAGTTGAATTACATGTATATGAACTTGAATTGTCTGTGCTAGTGTAGGTATAGTGCCAATACTGCGGATTCAGATAGACCGTTTAATGCGAATAGTTGTCGCGTTAGTTTTAGCAGTTGTACGATGACGTTTCTAGGCAGATTTTCGACGTTTCTAAGGCGTGGCTTCAACGTTTATTTTTAAGATTTGAACGTTGTAATTACAAGGTAATTGCTAAATAGTATACTTCAAAATAAGGTTTCCGTTTTTATAACGTACAAAAAATCATCCTAACGCAAAACTAAACCCTAACCTAACCCTAACTTATTTAAAAAATTGTTATAAAAACGGAAACCTTATTTTGAAGTATACTGTCTGCCAATTACCTTGTAATTACGACGTTCAAATTTTAAAAATAAACGTTGAAGCCACGCCTTAGAAACGTCGAAAATCTGC